GGGGGGGCAAAAAAGAGCTCAACAGAGAGACAGACAGGGTGTACTATACAGCAACTTATTTAAGACATAAGCCGTTCTTTATGCTCTGTTAGTGTCTAAGTTCGATAAATGGAAGTGCCTATCGATTTAAACTCGAGATAGTGAGCGCAGAGTCCTTGGTGTTATCACTAAGATTAACACAGAACAACAATGAGAAATCTGCAGGGAACAGATTGGGGAGAATTCCCCTGGTCTCATCCTGCGCATAAGAGATACACGGCTCTGGCAGCAATTTCAACCACTGCTGATAGGAGCCTACATAGTTTGCACCACACCAATTGATGCTGATGCACAAATATAATAAGAAAAGCCACCAGCATTGTGCGTTGTATTTACTAAACACTACCAGAGGCGCACACATGGGCTCAGGTTTCCACACATAAGTGGAAGTGAGCTTGACAATATTTTCGATGAGGATTTGCTAAGCTAAGAGTAACACCGTGAACAACCAGTGACTGCAGTAAAGGTCTCAAAGTTTCGGTTTCTCAAAGAAAGCACGCTTGCGTTTAATACTGCAACCTGATTTGAAATCTAACTAAACTCACAAAAGTAAAGTTAAACGTAACAGTGCATTGACGGGTCGTAAACAACACCAACATCACCACAGGAACTACGTATACATAAATGATAAAAGGTTGCTGTATGTGGACAAAAAAAATCTACAAAAACATGTATTTTTATAATTAATTGCAGTACAAGACTAGTAAGGATGCAGATAACAGAAAGACCTGCTGTAACACATTACACAACTTACATTCAGCTGCGTGCTTATCTGCACTACCTTTTGATGTATCATCTAAATTGCTTTGATTAAATGTTCTGGAGTTATCCACATAGGCTAAGACCAACCAGTATGAGAAAGACTCAGCATTACTTAATAAAAAATTCTGCACCAAGACATGATCTCAGTCTGAGGTCCTAATACATGTTAACTCACCTGGGATAAGTCCTTTTATGCTTCAATCCTTCATTAACATACACTGTGAAAAATGTGATATAATGTTACACTGTCACAACAGTTTCTGGTGAGTTAAGGTTTTTGGAATTTCTCTGTACTGTCCTGTAGTCTGTACTTGCTTGTTGGAGCTCATCCATCTATTTGGTGGGGCCTGGTGGAGCTATTGGGCAAAGGCAGACGTGCCTTCTGTTTGGCAACGTTTGGATTTGCCTTTACAAAAGCCCTCAAGGACAGTCTTGGTCCTGATATTAATGCAGAGACAGTGTGTTCTTATGTGGAGGGCTGATGTGGGAGTGGGAACATGAAACTATGTGTAACTTTACAGCCTCACCATACTTGCTCTTTGTGCCTGCCTCTCCTCTTTAATAAGTTTTTTTTTAAAACTAAATGTTTGAAGAGTCTCTTGAACAAATCTTTCTATATGGGCCACATTGAATCATTTACATAAGAATGAAAGTTGTATATGCCAAACAGTAAATACATTCAGCTGGTGAAACAGGCCCAGTGAGACGGAGTACTGGTGGATCCGTCTCAATCTTGTATCGATATTTAGACTTGTGATTTAACCTCCTAAGACCCGAACTCTTCCACGGCATGCATTTTTAATTTCTCTTTGATATTTGGGCTGATTGGAACCTGATGAATGTAAAAACAAAGAATTACCAGATTTTTTTTTAACCTAATTATTGTTTCTAAGAAAAATAAGATCCACATATGAGGATATTTGTTTAAAATTTCGATACAACAGTTGCAGTATAACGTCCTCGTAAGTGGATATCAGGCCCTTGTAGAGCAAAATTGAGTATTTTGGTCTAAATAACCCAAAATGTGATGTCCACATATGTGGACGCCAAGTCGTAGGAGGTTAAGGCCTCTCCCCGAATACCAGCTCCCATCTAAGTTCTTTTTTTCACTCAGGTCTTTATCATTTTCTCTCTCCAGGAGGTAGTTTGGTCATAATCCCGCTTCAGATATTTGCTCCTTCTTGTGTCAATCCTTATCTGATGGAGAAACGCTTGAAATAAACACTTTCCACTGATTTTGCCTCGGTGAAAAATGTTTCTTCCCAGTCCCAGGCCTCTCTGTGTGCAGTTTCACTTTTTACTGTGAAGGCACATAAAAAAAACCCCCAAAAAACAAGCAGAAAATATCCTTTTTAGGGCATGTCTTGTGTGAATTTTGCATAGGTTGAGACAGATTGTGAATGTGAGTGTGTGTGTGTATTGTGTAGTGAGTGCAGCCAAAGTGCAGAGCCTTTGCTGCTGTATAGCTGACTGGAATCAGGATTTCAGAGTTAATGGACAGGGTGACGGCTGCCTCCTCGATGTGTCAGCCTTCGTTACACGCTCTGCACACAGAAGCCACCGCTGCTGCTGTCCGCAACACAGCAACCCAATACATATTTAAAAAGCAATATAGAAAAGGAAAACCGTTTGTTTAGCAGAGTCTTGGGTTTAAATATTCGGAAGAATTGTATCTGATGAGTCTGATTCCTGTTTCCTCTTTCTTTATTCTCCATTAATAAAACAAGCACATGTCACACGCTAAGTTTTTAATTTTAAAAAGTCAGCCTGTACCCCCTGTGTGAGATTAAACCGATTCATGATTTGTGTTTGTGTGTGTGCACGTCTCAAAGTTTTATTTATTGCACAGTTACGATCATACCAAGTTGTTTTATTTTCAGTGTCCAGTTGTTTAAATTGTGTTCTTGCCATTTATTTTATAAGAGGGTTGGTGGCTTATTGATCATCTCTGTGCTTGCACATCTTGTGCTGGAATTCACAAGATTGGTGAATACTGGTTGTATTGATTGCTGAGTTGGCTGTGGCTCAGGAGGCAGAGCAGGTCATGTACTAATTGAAAGGTTAGTGTTTCGATGCCCAGCTTCTCCAGTCTGCATGCTATAGTATCCTTGGGCAAATACCGAACCCAAAATTGTTCCCAATGTGTTCATCAGATTGTGGAAATTAGATAGAAAGCACTTAGAAAAAAGTGACATGACATTATAAAAGCACTATAGAATAACGAGTGTTTTTACTATTAATTTGAGAATGTATAATTGTTGTAAAGTAACTGAATGACTGTAGAATAGTAGGAAGCTAAAAGGATCAGGCACTGCATGACGTTTTTACAACAACTCCACGGTGTGACAGAGAGAGCAAACGAGAGAGAGTAGGAAAGAAGAGGAAAAATACGGACACTTTCAGAGAGGGATCCAGGAATGTCCTTGATGTTTCCGCACCTCTCTGCCTCTCATCATTCCATTCTCCCTTGTTATCTACCTCATTGACAACAACTTCAGCTCAAAAGAGGAAATTAACCACCAAAGTGCAGCCCTCCTGCCGTGGCTACACGAGGACTCATTAGGGATGAAGCTAAAAGAGACAAGTTTCAGAACTTATCTGCAGAGATGCAAAAGTGCCGCGTTGAAAAGCGAACAGGTCGAGGTTATCAATAGGCGGTTTTAAATGAGAAAATTACTTCTCATCATTGCACTGACTGTTACTGCTGTTCAGAATTCCATAAAGTGCTGACCTGTACATTTTACTAGCCAAATAATGGCTGATTATTTCAATTAGGAAAGAGTTAACTGCTTAGCACACCGAAGCAAAATAAGACATTAAGATATCAGTGTAATTAACTGCTGAATTAATTCCGTTAAATATATTTTTCAAGTTAGGCTTACATGTTTCTCCTCTCTCATCTTCATGCATAGATATGAGCACAAACAAAGAGGCAGGAGGTGACACTGCCAACATAATAATTAGTCACAAAGCCATTGGCTGTTTCTCTCACAGACTTAATGACCTACAGTGGCGGTACGGCTGGTTATTAAATGAAGTCATTTCAAGTCACCATGAAGAAAGACAGCAAGAGTAAGGGAAAAGAAATGTATCTAAGCAAACTAGAAAACACAGCAAAGCCATCCGGCTGCCTAACAGTCTCTAAGTCATGATGGTGAATATAATGCAAACAGTTATACGGGTGAAATGTTTACCTTCAGTTAAGATACAGATACAACTGACCACTGCCTAAACTGTTGTAAAAGTCAAAGGAAAGGATACAGGATGCATCGACACATCAGTTATTCAGCATTTACAACAAAATGTCAAGATGGAAACTTACGAAACACTTGCTCTTATAGTGATTTGTGATCGATTGTGACTTAATGTTAACACCATGGTGTTTCCTGATTTTGTGACAGAGTACTTTTATTTTATTGGGGAAGCATCATTAACCACTAAAAGAAATAAATGTGAGAGGGAAAAAAAACAGAACGTCTTGTCAAGCACTTCAGTGGCAAATGGAGCAAGTTGACATTTAGTCTGCTGGGTTGGAGTATCATGTGGAGGAAATTACATGGTAGGAGCCGTCCAAGAAAAGGATCAGTCACTGAAAAATCACAGCACAGAGCATTAGACATGTCCACACATCTCGAGCCAGCTACTAAAAACAAACATATTATCCACAACTTGGGGGATGTTTCCAATATTCAGTGTATTGATAGCTATCGAAAGTCAGTCACTGAAAGCCAACTCGTGTTCTGGCCACAGGTTCATGTTGAAGGCTTTTTTTTTTGCACATATTATGTTCCGATTGCACGGGAGAGTTACTGTACTTTACCCAAAAAAAATATAAAGTGTTCTTATCAGTGGTATTCTCTGACAGCTGTGCCCTCTACTATTACAATAATGCCTGCCACAGTTCAGAGTGTTGAAGCTGTTTACTTGGCCTTTCGATCTCAATCTCTATCTGTGAGATGCTCTGGGAGAAGAGGGCTAATGCACGATGCCCTGAGCTTGAAAATTATTCAATTCCTTTATTTGATATTGGATTATGATGCAAATTAATACTTACATTGTGTCTATTTCACATTTTAATACCTACTACTAACCTACTATTACATTTTCATAAATGTACTATAGCAGTGAGTTGTTTTAAGGGTAAAAGGTCATGTATGTAGATA